ACATATTTCATGAAAAATTCTGCTTTCATGTTGCATTTCCGGCACCTTATCAGTTATTGCTTCCTATTAACTTTTTCTTATGAGTTGACATAATAACTAGATGACTAAAGCAAAATAGTCTCTATGTTTAACTTCAATATTAATATGTACATCAATGGTTCAAAAGAAACTCAATAAACCGGAGAAATCATTAAAAATAACTCTATTGTCAAAGGAGTCTTTTTAATTGCGTTTTGCTTCGTTTATTGGAGAAGCTTCTTTTAATGTGTCAAGGACTTTATTGTATGCATTGCTTTTCTCTTTGTTGAAAGCAAATAGTAAAATAATGAGGAAGAGCAATGTTGACAATCTTAGCATCCGTTTCATTGAAATAGGTAAGAATAAATATATTTCTTATTCAGGAAATTACAAAAAACTTTTTCAGTTTTTTTTTTTTGCTTTTGATTTTAAAAGATTTCTACATTTTTCACTACTCATGCAGATTTGTACATAGGAAAAAAATGTTTTTTTAAGCCTATGTTACCATCGTTGCCATCATATTTCTTATTAATAGTTAGTACAAAATAATTACTTCTCATTATGTAATATTTCATATTCTATTTAACGGAGAAAACAAAATATGTCGGTGATCTGTTTTTCTTTTGGCAAGACCAAATGTTGTTTTCCATCAGATGAATATATATTTATAGATTACATGTCAAGATAGTATTTTAATCAACAGTAAAATAATTTTCCTTCAGAAGAGTATTAATATGTCTTTTTCTGTATGTCGAACATAGAATGAATCCAAATTTACGAGAAATAATCTTTATTTGATGATTTAAGAAATCAGTTCGTCTATCATTCACTATTGTTTGTTTTTCTATTAAGCATTGCTAACGGACATTCTATTTGATGAAATTTATAAGCATGAATATTGTGAGTACTTTCTTTCTTTTCCTTTAAGTTAATAATAATTCTATTATATTGTGTTTATAAAAAATGTTCTTTAAGTGTGAATATTTAAGTAGTAAAATAGGCAATTTTTTCGAAGTTTTCTTTTCAATTATTTTCACTGAATAGAAAGATAATTTAATAAAAGTTTCAAATGTGTGATTATTTTACGGATCGTACATTAAGGCGTAAAAGCCCATTTTGTCTATTTTTCTTTGGACTTTATCCATTAAAAGAGAACAAAGATCGATAATAATAGTACGATTAGAAGAAATAGGTTTAATATAATATATTGCGTATTTTTATTTTGTTTTCTTAGCTAATGGATACTTCCGCATATTAGGAAAATAACTTTACAAAAAAGTTAGTATTTTTTCATACTCATTAAATGAATTTAGAAATTTAACTTTATTGAATATTCTCGATAAAAAAAAACATTATGGCAATAATGTTCATTAAGCATGCATTGTTTTCCCCAAAGTATCAAGAAGTGTTTATATGTTTGAGCATGTCATTTATGCTATATTTAGCAGTCACGACATTTTACCAATATTCAATAGCCTTTTTTCTTCTCCAGATGTGCATTACAATAAAATAAAAAACAATTTGTTACTAGATCAGTTCAACAATAAATATTCTTTCAACATCAGAAATATGAACTTCGATAGACTTTGCTTCTGTTTTGTGTACTAAGTCAATAATTATTAATTGATGGCTAATATACTTTGACTTCTGTCAAATCAAATTAAAATGATGACTACCGATAAAATTAGACGATTTTTAATACGATCGTGACATGAACAAGGACTACTCGAGTTGTAGGGATTATTGAATTATAAAGTACTTTTGTTTTTTTCTTTTATATCTCTTTATATAAATAATACTTTGAATAATAGCATGAGCTCTATGTAATCTACGGAGAGTTTTTAATGAAAAACGTATTTAAAATAATAATAACAGTAAATAAAATTAATATCATATTTAACATATGACAAATGAGAGACTTTATTAAAGTATAAAATAATAATTTTGAACAGAGAGAAAAAAAAGAGAAATAATATCATAATAGAATAGAATCATGTCAAACATCATATTTTTTAACTGTGGAATTTTTCTTATCAACATAATGAATTAGTAATTGCAGGAAAACAAACATCCTACATAGGCTAAAAAAAGACGCATATTCATTTTGTAACTGCTTTGTTTCTTTGCTTGATCGATCAAATTCGTAGCATGCTTATAATCAAAGGTTATATTTAACTAATAAATCACGCATTTTTCAATACTACACACAAAAATAAGGTAGACATACATCAAAGATATATATATATATAATATAAACTATAGAAAATGTAATTATTACATGACAATGTTCCATATGTATAGAAACATATTTACTGTAGCATATAAAAATAACCAGTAATTTCTAATTTATCTTTTATGAGAGACAAACCACAGGAATATTCTATATATTAAGGAGAACAATAATAAATACTAAGCATCAAATCTGTAATTTCATTTTAATCATTTATAACAGCTAACTAGATAAAGCATATGAGACAATCTCTGAAACATAATTGAATTGTCAGAAAAAAAAAAGAGAAAAAAAAAAGAAACATCACATTGTGATCCGTGCTAACAAGCATGCACAGTCGATTGTCATTACCATTTTTATTATCATGCAATATAACAATGAAATTGACACGTTCACACATATGTTAGTATTAGATGAGAAAAAAAATGAAAAATCCTTTTTTTCTTCATCTATTTATTTAAATAAGTCCTTAATGATAACCCCTATCTCTAAAAAATACAATGAATAAATTAGTCGATTTTGTTTTCTCATATGTTGAATATATGAGTTTTCGAGATATACATATTTTGTATCAATAATAATCAAATTCATCAGTTTACAGTAAGATGCGAAAGAAAAAAAAAGTAGTCTTTCAATAATTTTCTACATTCGCTTTCCGCTTAAATAAGTTTGAATGGGTTTAGTATCGAAGAATAGAAAAGAAAAAAGCTAGAAAACTCGCTAAAAATGAAAGACACTAATAGTGAGCAGCTATTTTTTTTTTTCGTCTCTGTCGTTTAATTGACATGTTCGAACGCAAAAGAAATGCTAGATGTTTAAACAACCGAGACAAGCAAGTCATAGGACAGAAATAATGCTTAATTTACGCATACACAAAAAGATAGAAATGTTTTTCTATGCTGTTTCTTTCTTTCACACCCCATTCGAACCTACTCTCACTCACTCTGTATGTCTCTCTCTCTCTCTCTCTGTGTGTCGCTCACGATGTAGTAGTAACACAAGTGAAGCGCAGAAGAACAAGAAAAGAAAACAGTGGAGTTTGAATACAAAGAAAAAATCTGGATTATTATCTATATAAGAATGGATGTGCATGCCAGTGATAGAAAATATGATCAATTTTTTTTGCCATCCTATAAGATGCAGTCACTAACATTGAATAAGGTTTACAACTCTTATTCTTTGTTGTTCTCTTGTTATGATTAATAACTCAACATTGAATGACAATCGAAGTTCATAACTTCAAATCAATGTCATCAAGTAGGTCAACAATAATATATTGTATCTATCGTTTATGTCATTTATTATCATTATCATTATCACTAGACAGGCGTACGGATTATGACAAAATTCCAGCATATGTGCATGTGTTGAAAACCCATTTAGATTTATTTCAGTTAGAAAAAAGAAATTAACATTAGTAGAATAGTATTCTCTCCTCTTCCTTCTGTCGCTGATCCATCTTCTTGATAGTTACGCTAACAAACGTATGCTTTTACTCCTTGGACGAGTTAATAATAAAAGAAAACAAAGAAAACCTCGAGGCAATTAAAGATAAACGAATTGACGATAGTTTTATCAAATCAAAATTGTGGCACCAGCCTTCATTTGGTGTTCTTGTCTGTTTTGTTTTTTTAAGCGTTCAGAAAACGAGTGCTCTTGTTCTTACCAAAAACGGAAAGACCAGTAAGATCAATTTCCTGTGTATATAAAGGTCATGCAAAGAATACGAAGAAAAACCATTCTTTGATCAATGACATATGTGTCGAAACACAAAAAATATATATTCAAGATAGAGAGAAAATTTAAGAAGATAATGAATAAGAGAAAAACGAGAGACTTCTACTAGAAAACAAATAGCCTTCAGCATAATATTATATCAAAGAACCGATAGACTTTTGCATATATATATATGTATGTTCTTCCTTTTGAGTTCTGTCTCTCTCTCTCTCTGTCTCTCTCTCTCTCTCTATCCTGATGCAGTCTCCACGCGTCGACCTCGTTTATCGAATTACTAGTGTTAGTGCCTATTCTTACTCACTAATCATCAATTCATTATATCAAACAAACATCGAGTATTTCTTCATTTCATTACTTAGTGAGAAAAAAAGAAAACGGTTGGTATCTCCTAAGGCAGCAAGACTTCGAGAAAACTTAATTATAAAAAGAAAAAAGTTCTTCAAACGAAAAACCCTCTTTGCTCTTTTTATTCATTACAAATTAATGAAGAAAAAAAAAAGGAAAAAATAGAAAGAAAAATGTTTGAAACAAATATACTCTTCTCTTTTATTTTTCTAATGAATATATACACTAGAAATATATTGTTTATTCAGTCGTTATTTAACTAAAAGCGATTTAATATACTTGCCCGAGACCTCCGACTAAATTTGAATAATTTATCACGTTTCCACTCATTCCTTCTACAAACTTCAATGATGAATTTTTGTTCGAACAAATATAGTTCATACACATGATTGGTTATATAGAAAGAAGAGCGTCGTTTTTTTTGCTTTGGTTGAAGATCAAAATGTTAATCTATTTTATTTGTCTTCGAAAGACGGATATTACACATCCGTTATTCCCATGAGACTGATCGTGTTCTCATCTAAATAAAGAGGTTTGTCCCATTGATTTATTTATTTTTTTTTTCGAAGCAAAAACTGATTTACGTTCTTAAATTCTAGAATAGATAGATAAAGTCTTCATTCTCTATTTTCTAGATTACAATAAAAAAAAATCTAGCAACTAATGAATAATGTCGAATAATTCGTCCAATGGTGATCCTGTAAATGGTCTTGATTATATTTTACTATATCGTCTTATTGTTTGGGGTTATGTTGGAATTGTTTTAAGTATATGTGGTATTGTTGGTAACATCATTACCATCTTGGTACTTATATCTCCATCAATGCGTACTACATCTACAAATATTTATTTGACAGCCTTGTCATGTTCAAATATACTTTTTCTTCTAATATTTATACCATCATATTCGATGAGATATTTATTAGGTTATCGTTTGTATATGACAAATCAACCTCCATTTGCATTTGAAATACTTCTAACACGTCTACCAACAACTCCTGTATATAATACTATTCTTCTTTCAATCATTTATTTAACTATAGCTGTATCAATGGATCGTCTAATATTAGTAAAATTTCCATTAAAAGCCAAACGAATATTGACACAACGTGCAACATTAATAACAATATTATTAATATATATATTTTCTATTGTTTATTGTATACCATATTGGTTAGAACAACGTTATTTACCTGAATTAAAAAGATGTTATTTAACAAATATTGGTAAAAAAATTCATAAATATACTCGAATATATATTTATATACCTGTTGTTTATTTAATACCATTTGTAACATTAACATGTATAAATGTAACAATAATACAAAATTTAATTGCTAAAAAACGTCGTAAAAAAAGTTTATGTGGAAAAGCTAATAAAAAACAACAAGCTGATTATCATATAACATTAATGCTTGTTACAGTGATTATTGTTTTTGTTTTATGTCAATTCCCATTATTAATACTTAATGCATGGTATGCTATTGATCCTCATGGTTCATATCATAATTTGTTATTTCAATCATTAAATACAATTGGTGTATTACTTATTGTATTTAATACATCAACAAATTTTTTACTTTATTGTTTTTTTGGACAAAAATTTCGACAAACATTAATTGAATTTATTTTACATATTCTACCAACTAAACGTAAATCAACAAGTTTACAAAATCGATCAACAAAATCAATTCAATCACAACAAAAACAATCATCAGAAAAAAATCATCAAGAAGTACAACGTATATTATCAAAAAATTCGGAATCAATAAGAAATTCTATAAAACATAATAATCATAATAATAATATAAAACCAAATGAATTAAATCAACAAATAGTAAATGATAAATTAAATCAAAATTCAATTCAAAGTACATCAATTACTCAAGAAGTATCACATCCATTAATAACAAAATCTGAACAAATATTAATAATAAATGAAAATTTTCCATCAAAATTCGATCAACAATTTCGTTTATGTACAAGTGCAACGGGTAAACGAATATTAATATTAAGAATTTAATTGAAAGCAGAAGAAAAAGAAGAGAAAAAAAAAGGACAAACAAAAATACGGTGCTAAGTGTTGTGTTTTTTTTTTTATTTTTACTTGTGTTAAAAAATAGATATGATTATATAGAAAAAAATGAAAAAAAAAATATATATATATAAAAAGAAAGAACAATGAAAAATGAAAAATGAAAAAAATGTTAATTTCACTTGTTTCTTTATTTATCTATTGTTCACTAGCAATAATAATTTGCATGAAATTTAAGCAATACGATTAATTTATAAAGTTCACTGTTTCTTTTTATCACCAAAATATGATTAAGAAAAGACAAAAAAAAAAAAAAAAGAACGAAATCTATTAAAGATATATTTCATCATCATGAATACCACGACTCATATAAAAACGTCGATTTTCTTCTTTCTCACGATTAAGTTCATTAACTACATCACGTATTACATTTGCACGATTATCTATTTCATTGTAATGATTTGAAATATCATCTCTTTGAACATATGGATAACTTCGTGATGAATATGAATTATCATGTGGTATACTAAAAAAACAATCAAAGAGCAGAAGAAAGACAAAAAAAAAACGAATTTATAATTAATAGTCTTCTGAATTATAAACAAAGCGTCTTCGATAAACATAATTATTTCATCTTTCAATTGAATATATATCGAGTGATCTTGATGATTGCTGGTAAGGAAGAAAGTAAAAAACCGAGATCAACTGTTTGCCGAAGAAATCTGTCAATCAAATATAATTATTATTTAATGTCATACTGAATTCTATCACAAAAAAAAAGACATTAAGATTTTTATTTCACTCTGTTCTCTATAATAATAATAATAATAATTTATTGAATTGATTTACTACAAATTTATTATATATAATTAAACTTATTGAGGTTAATACATGACAATTGAATGAAAGTCAAATTATTTAGATATGAACGTACCTAACTGACATGTCAAAATATGAACGAAAGGGGTAATTATCGAAGTATTTATGTCAATTTATGTTCCTAATGATGAAAAATGAATATAGTCTGCTAATAATTATATATCAACCTTATCTATCCTATTTTAAGGACATATCAAGAAAAAATAAATTTCGTATTCTTGTTGATATGTGCCGAGTGTAGCAAAAATTTGATATGTAACCCTGCTCAGAAACATGACAAAATGTCGATCTTGTTCTTTATCAAAGATGCACTATTGAATGTTCTACTTAGATCACACGACCAAATCTTTATAGTTATTTTAGAAATTTTAATAGACTGTTAATACTGAACATGTGTATCATTGTATTATTCTATACAAAGAGAAATACAAGAAAGTTAAAAATTGTTGAATTTTGTTCATTCATTTTGACTATAATGTTTGAAACTAAGTATAAATCTAGTACGGCCTTCAACACCTGAAGGTTATTATTTATCCTTATCTCAAGTACAAGTGAAAAATAATGTCTATACCAATTGACCTGGATGTTTTGCCCTAAAATAAAACATGTTTTGTTGCATTTCTTTCAAATACATCGCTTAAAAGCAATGAGCTCGATATACAAATTATTAGATTAAACTTCTTCAACTGTTGAAAGAAATATTCAAAAAGAATTAAGCTTAACAAAAACAAAATAGTAAGAACTTAAGTTTAGATGATAATAATACGTTGATGAGAAATCAGTACTAGTGTACTCGGTGTGATTGTAACTTGAGCTTGATCACAAATACTAAAGTAGTCGCATATCTTTTGAATCAAAGCAACTAGACATATATGTTACATGAGATATTACAACTTAAGGAATTTTAAAATTTTCCTAAGACAAATTAAAATTGAGAGTGAAAGTTAGGTGCAATTTTTAATTTTCTTGAATTCTAATTTCTCCTATGACACAAATATTACAAGCACAAACCATAATATAAGTACATATACAGTTAAACGCAAACACACTAAAAGTTGTCGATTAGTTTTTGATTGCGAATAAATTTTAATAGAAATTAGAAAGAGAACTGTGATTTTCAGTGTTGAATGAAGGAGACTTCAGAAAAGTTTTAAAAAATCAGAAATTTTTATTTATTTTTTTTTGCCATTATCTTACTTTTTTCACAATAAACATCGTTCAAGAAAAGAGATTGAGACTAGCGATGAATTAGAAAGCATGATCGTGAGGAAAAAACTCAGTTGCACCGGACACTTATCAAGACTGATCTCGTAAAAAGTAGTGATGAACGTTTTGGTCTTTCTATAGAGTGCCTCCTAACAGTCTATTTTATCTAAGATTGATTTGATTAAAAATAAAATAGTTATAAAGATTGGATCTTATGATCTAAGTAAAAAATTCGAAGGTGGATCTTTTGAAGAAAAAAGATCAACACTCTATCATGTTTCTGAACAGAGTTACATGCAAAATAAAGAATGTAATAAAAGTTTTGTAATATTCGATATATTAAAAAATGTTCAAGATTTATATTAGTTTACTTTGAACGTGCTAATGTATTATCAGCTGGTAATTGATCAACATTATGCAATCCAATATATTCAAAATCACGACTTTTTTGAGGTGCATTTGCTAGAATCTCTGCTCGGCCTATTGATCTATAAAAATAAAAAAATTTACAAGAGATTTTTATTATATAATAGTGGATAAAAGTCTTCGTCTTCTGTACAATGTTTATTTTTCGTATGGCAGGCGGACATATGACTTTTTTTGCACAGAAGTGAATTCCTTTGCTCCGAAATAATTAGATATGACGCTGAAAAGCATTTTTTTTAGAAAAAAAAATTTCCGACGAAAAACATTTGACGGGCACTGTCGACCTCATTTTTTCTTCAAAAGCGTTGTGTTATAGATCATTCGACGCAGTTTAATAAACTGATTCCGAATATATTATTTTTGTCGATTAAATATTTTTTCAAGCGAGAAAAAAACTGACAAACGTAGGTTTTCTGGAAATTTACTGTGCAGTCTCTAAGAATGTTTGCGCCAATAGGGATTAGAAATAGTGGATAGAATAACATTCTAGCAAAATCTGTAAAAATTTGGAGATTGTCTTGCTCATTTTATGGAGCTAGTTGTTCGAGTGACATTAGAAAAAAAATATTCTTTTTCTTTCTCTAAAGTTGAATATGCAAGTTTGGAGATGCAGAAAATATACTTGATTTGTCTGTCAAACAGTTTAATTTTGTCAGATATAAATTTTCTCGGTGTTATCACAATTTTCAGGCTAATTTTTAAGCAAATGGTTTTGTAGTTTCTTTGAGGATTGTAACAACATTATTTATAGTATTAGATAAACTATATTTCAAAGTATATTTTCTTATATTTATAATCTGAAAAATTGCGATTTTAATTTTTAGCCAAATGTCTGTTCGAATGCACACTGCCTCTTCTCTATTTCGACTGCCATACATACTCTCGGTCCGAAAATTTCCGTGCACATAACTCACGAAGAATGAATATCTGACCCATGTGTTTATCTCGATTGTTTAAATGGAACAGGGGTTATAATGAATCACATCTATTTATCCTTTAACCTTCATAACGCTGAAAATTGTAGCCATTTCTCCATGACCATTTCAATAGAGAAAACCTATGTGCTGATCTTTGAAAACCGTAACTCAGTAATGTACTAGTAAACTGAATTGAAACTTATACATAAGCTTTGTCTGTAGTTAAAGTTTCATGAAGGAACCTTCCAGTAAATAAAAATCTCATCTGAATAATCATTCTGTTCGTATAGAGGGTTCAGAAGCATAGGTTGAACTCTATTTACATGCTAAAATATCAAGAATTAGTCATATGCTTGATAACAGATAAAGAAAAATTTAGTAGACAATTTTTTTTCAGACTGAAGTCTTGAAGCAATGATAGACGACCTATATCATAATTCTCATTGTAGTAAAGCAATAGAGGTGACCGCCGTGTGCTTCTGAACTCAAGTCTTAGTGGAGTATTTCAAAATCTTCAGCATGTACAGAAGCCGAGATATAGGAGATGAAAGGTTTTTGTTTACTATGGTATCAAAAACAAAATTTTTATACTTTTGAAAAATTTGTCGTCGACGTAAGCACATTAATAAAGCACATACAAGAATAAAAATCAGAAATACGAGCAAACAAATTGCTAACATTTGTGGCCACCATAAAATTGCTGTGCGAGCACATCTTCCATCATATTCATAATTAGTACGAAAAAAATGTTTACTTCGATCACATCTTAAAGAAAGATACATAATAGAAAAATTTCAAATTTTATTATAATTGATAAAATATAATACATACTTGCAATAATAATTTTGTCCATATATATCTTTTAGTTTACATTGTGATTCAGGATAACTAGCACATAGACTTTTTGTACCACAATATTCACAATCATTTTGTTTTCGTGTTTCATTAGCACAATACTTTTCTGTAAATGAGAGAAAATTTCAAGATAAAAAGGTTTACACATGCTTTTTGTTGCTTACTCGTTGTCACGTTAACTGATGGAGTCGAGGCTATATCTTTTGTTCTATTATTAATATACTCTATAATTGTTTTATTAGCCAGAGATGTATATCCTTCATATATTAAATTATAGGATATTTCACATGAATCAATGGAACAATTTAAAATTGTAAAATTAGAAACAAACAAAAGTGGTCTAAGCTGATTTTGAAGCCAGAGAATGAAGTTTGCTGCACCTTCTGTAGTACTTAAATCAAAATAAGTTTTATTGATGCTTTGGTTAACTTGAAATTCTATGTTGAGCGCTTGAGTAAGAAAAATGCCACTTATAGTTGTTGTTGTTGTTGTTGTGATCGGTATAGATGTTTGCGTTGTAATAATATTACTGCCCGTATGCGTTGAAATATTGCTCATTGTCGTTTGTGTTGCAGTCTGACCTGTAGATAGTGACGTAACTGGAGAGAGCGTTGTTGTTTGGTCAGTAGGTTCTCTGGAGGATGATGATGATATCGCTGATGACTCTGAGAATAAAGACATAGAAGTGGAAGAATTGGATGCATATGGTACCGTTATGGTTGCTGTAATTATTGGACTTCCAGTTGAAGTTTCGGAAGGATTCGTTTGGGATAACATTGATGAGGAAGATAGATTTGTTAATAGTGTTGTCGATGATTCTGACGAAATAATAGTCTGACCAGATGTAGTTTCGGTTGTGGATGACGAACCACTGGATATTATATTTGATGTTGAAGTTAAAGAACTAGTATCAGATACAGATGTAATCGAGGGTTGATCACTTGTTACTGATGAAATCACTTCACTTGGAGTTGTAAAAATTGATGTTAACCCCGTTATCGCATTTGTGGTATCAGATATAACCGATGTAATTCCTGTATTGAATGTGCTTGATATTGATCCTTCAACAGTAGATGCAGACGTAGATAAAGTATCTCTGCTAACTGTATTAGTTGATTGACTTGAAATGGACGTAGTCAGTTCTGTTGTCGTCATGTAAACCGAACTGGTAGATGATACATCTGTCAAGTCCGCCGATGTTGAGCCAATTACCGAAGATGAACTAGATTCATATGGAAATGAAGAAGTCGATATTGGCTCTTTCGTGGTCTCAGAACCGATTGACATTTCCGTTGAGGACAAAAACGTACTCGAAGATTCGAACACAGATGAAGTTGAGTCACTCATGCGGGTTGATGAAATCGTTTCACTTGATAACGTTGGACCTTCTGTGATATTTTCCGAAGTGGAAGTTTGCATGGTAGATGAAAAAGTGTTTTCAGTTGTCAATGAAGAAAGGTCAGTTGATGATGAGGATGATGAATCTTGTGAAATGGGAGATGTTTGAGTTGAAGTAGGGGATGCAGTAGATTCCGAAGTTTCACTTGTATCAGAAGACTGGTATGTTGATGGTGTAGATTCACTAGTTGAACTGTCAGTCATTGTAGAATCCTCTGTGCCAGTGCCAGTCATTGTTGAAGTCGTTGAATCACCTACTGTTAGAAATAAACTCTGAAAGAATTCACTTCCTGTTGCTGAAGTATTACTACCTGTAATTGAAGGTGAACTATCAGAGGAGATAGTAGATGAATCATAATTGCTGGAAAGTGAAGTCATTTCTGTAGTGTCAGTCAACGGTGAAGTTGTAGACATATCAGAAGTAGTTCCATCGGAAGCAGAATCGGCTGATGGCGTTATTGCAGTGCTGGTCTCAACCGTACCAGGCTCTGTTGACATTTCTATATTAAGAAAACAGTAGATAAATTTCTAAACACATTTCTCAGAGAAAAAAAAACTAAAAGGAAAACGACGCCAGAATTACTCTATTCTATATAAATGTCATATACATATATATATACATGCATTGTTTTATTGTTGATTCTTTTCATCAACTTAAAAAGATTATCTCATATTGAGAACAGTTGCATTTATCTAATATCAACAGCCTGAAAATTGACTGTCGTACGATAGAATTGAAACTAACAAATGCAAAACATCTGTCTCTTACTATAACATTCATCGATACAAAATAACAAATATATATTTGTATCTCTGTTCTTTTTAACAAAAAAAAGTTTTAATAAAGCATCAAATAGTACAATTAACATACCTGATGTTCCAGGATTTTGAGATATTGTTAAATGTATCGATGCTAATAATAATAAAACAATGAATACATAACGAATAAAATCATTATCAAGCATCATCTTTGAAATATCTGTATGATACAAACGCTTAGTCGTCTCTCTCTCTCTTTCTTTGTCTGTCTGCGATCTAAAATGCATACAAAAATGACAGGCAAAAAAAAAACGAAAAGCTAAGTAACAGAGAGAGAGAGAAAGAGAATACAATTCGATATTCTGAAAAAAATAATACATCTAAGATGATATTTTTCTTTATGTAGCATATAAAAAACAAAATGAAAACTTGATACTTCTCGAATATTTCAATACCTACAATGTAATTGAAACATTTAAGTAAACTGAATTGTATATCATATATTCTTTTATAACAAGGTCTATATTCAAAAGGAGAGAAAAAAAATCAATTAAAACAAAATATCTATCAAATCGACTTATTTTTTAAGTATTAAATAAAAGATACATAGAAAAGATTAAATAACAGTATCATCAAGTAGTCTGATGATACTTTTAATTTTTCGTATTTTTGAAAAAAATTTAAAAAAAAAACAAAACAGAATTTTTTTTAAATTTCTTCAAGTCTCCATGTAAAGATGTAAATATGTATTCAAAACCGATCATCGATAAGTTGATGTTATTCGATATTTCAAATACAATTGGTGTTTGACGATGAGAAAGATGAGATTGAGAGAAATAATATTAAATGAATAACAACACTACAGGTTTTGTATATTACTGCATAGAAATAAGTGAAAAAGAGACGAGAAAGACATGAAAAAAAACGTTGTATCATTTAAAACCAATCCATCATCAATCTGATCTGGCTGAATTTTTTCAGACAGAATAAATGACAAAACTGCATGAGAGCGATATTCAATACTATTTACCTAGAACAAAGTCTATATTTTACAATATTTTTTATTAGCAATAGATGAAGAAAAGAATCTATATGAATATATCTTAGAAAAGCATATTATAAAAGACAAACAATATTGCAAGTATTATACATAAGCTTGAATAAAGTCAACTAAAAAAACAATCTTGTAATTGAGATATGAAACGAAAGAAAACTTAGATACAGAGTATTTTATAGTTATTATAATTGAAATAATATACTATATATTTTTTTCATTACAATGACTAAAGAATATCCTTGATTAATTTAATATACCTGTTGTCTTGGTATCCACGATATATGTCATTCGACTTCGTTCCAAAAGAAGTTCTTAATATATATATAATAAACCAAGATATAGATATCGATATTATACAACATGTTTTTGATTAGAATTTATAACCATTAGGAATAAAATTCTGATAGAAATATCCAAAGAAATAAAATTCGTTCTAACAGACTTCAAAATAATATATATATATATATATATGTATAATAGAAACTCTTTGATATATTTTATATTGATAAATGTATTTTTGTGTCAAATAACATAAATCAATTTCTCCTTATGAATAAGACATGCACTGCACATATAAATCACTAATCAAAATAAGTCTTAACTATATGATATATTTTTTTAATAAAAATTTCTCATAGTAAAAATATAAGAATAATTTTCTTTAGTTTTTGTTTACAAGATCATTTTAATGATTTATTGTTATATAACAATAAAAAATTAGACATTTATTTTAGGACCATCGAAAACTAATGGACTTTAACCAAGTGTATTACATGTGTTCACATTGAATCAAAATCTTGTTTTACAATATTTGCTTTTCATTAACGTGAATATTTACCTATTCTTCATCTCATTGTTCGTAACACATCCGAACAAAAACCGTATGGTCAAATACTTTTCTCTATTACATCGCATACAGGACAAAGTCGATCAAAACTAAACATGTCTATTTTCTATTTGACTTTGATTCTTTATAAGGATTATTGTGGTTTCTAGAACAAGGTTTTTTTTTACCACAAATATATGTAAAAGTCATTAGCATAATCTCTATGGAATTAAAATATGAAATATGATGTAACTGCTGTTACTAATCACAGAGTGATTATTGTATTGAGACACATTTCTTCACCATCCTTTTACTTAATCCTTCAATAACGTAATAAGGAAGTAATTCATATATTATAACAAGACATTCTGATATACGATTGTGATCCAATATCAACAACGTCTGTCATATCTGTGTGAGGGATTCAAATATATACCTCAATATTTCAACACACGTTTTAGATCGTATTTCATGAAACATTCGTTCTTTCATCTGACATCTAATTAAACTTGATTAATTAAAACGTAATCGGTGAATAATTCTCCAATCCTATGATGAAAAATTCGAAGGACTTTAGAATAGACACTTCACGTCACAGACTATATATATTTGCCAACGATAAATGCTTGTGAATTCTATTTTTTATATAAACTTTCATGGATAGTCAACCACAAAAAGAAACACAAGATTCTCAGAAGATTTTTTTCGTTTGTCGGGCTCGTTGTGCTGTTTATTTTGGTAAAAAAGAATATATATTCAAAATGATTCAATAAATCATGATGCTGGGGTTAAAGTACTTGATAATGTTAACTACCGTTCAGCAGCATTCCGTAACAATCGAAGTTTTTGATTATTTTGGTCTTAGTAGCATGATTTATTGAATAAATTTGAATATTTATTTTTTACCAAAATGATCAATGCAACAAACTCGTCAGACGAAAAAAACAACTTCTAAGAATCCTGTGTTTTTTGCTGTTGAATATCCATAGAAATGCCCATCAAAAACTGATTCGGATACATTTCGTCGTTGATAGGATGAAAAAATTTTCAGAATGATTGAATTCTAAAATATTATCTTCTTAAATCAATTTTCCAAAAGTTTGCTCATATTCAAAAATGAGACTTTTTATTTTGCTACCTTCTTGAAGTGTCCATGAAAGTTTTGAACTTTTCATTACATCACTAACAATGAATAAACTCAATTGTTTTTGAAAAATCGAAGCATATTACGCATACAGTAAAATTCTTTAATCATTTTCTCTAATTGAATTTTTTTTCAAAATATCTAAAATAACTCAACAAATATTTAATACATAAAAGTTAACTAAAAGAATATTTCTAGTCGAAAGTTATACATATTTTTCATGTATGAAATAACAATACTAATACATAAAATTTGTTTTGTATGTATTTATCTATTGAAAAGGTTTTAATTTATATTATTCTATTTAATAAATAATTTTTCAAGAAATCTTATATTTTTTTCTATGTCTCTTCATCAATACTTCGAGTGTTACACTTCTGCTTTGTTCGAGGACATTGCATTTGTTTGCACATATAGTTGATGTAGTGTTTATGAATTTAAGAACAAAATATACTTCAAAAAATTATTTTTGTAAAAAAGAAAAAGAATTGTACAACATTGATCTTGTCTATACGTTTTATAGTTTTTTTCTCTCATATAATAATAACAACATTTGATAAGACTATCATGAATATTATGTTATATAAAATATCTATACTACTAGTCATAAAATCAACAATAGAATATAGTTTTATAAAAGTTTTAATAATAATTATTTATAAGCTAATTATAAAAGACAAGACATTAAAAATTAAATTGAAAAGTCGAAAAATGGCGACGCAATCATTTTATTTGTCTTCATTTTTTTCACCGTAACACTTTTATTCTATGGAGGGTACTCCTGCTCGACACAGAACGAAAGAAGTCAAGATGGTTACAGTTAAAAAACAGAATAAGCAAAAAGAAGTTTGTTATTTTTTATGTGTGTAGTCAACAAAAAGTTGTATAAGTAAAAAAAAAAGAGAAAAGATCAAATTTGTCTTAGAATGGAAGGAATCTATACTAAACAAAGAGCATCAACAGCTGGTCATGTTCAACGTCGATTACCATCTAGACAAACAAGTCGAGCACGTCTCGCTTCACCATCAACATCTGTTTCTGATGATAGACCAGATCTTATTATTCAACAATCAATGGATCAAATATCTGTACGAAATGTATTTGATTTATTTTCGAAATTTGATAAATGGGATGTAACTGAATTACTTACTGCACGTGATACACATTGGCTTTTAGCAAATGCAGATATATATAAAGTATTTCTTTATTCAATTTAATTTTGTTTTATTTATTCGATTAAACAAATTTTTTTAGGCACCAACTGAAAATCCAACTGGATTAATACGACAGTTACAAGCATTTAGCGAATCTCATCTTGATATTTTATTTCCAGTTGATGATGATGTTCCACGTCTTGATACTCGTGAAATTCATCAATTATTACGTGAATTAACAATTGGGGTTTATTCTCTTAATGCACAACCATTATTAAGTCTTGAAGCTAATTTTGATCTTAGTTCAACATGTCAAATACCAACAGGTAATTATTATTTATATTTAATTAATTATAATTTTTGTTTTCAAAATAAAATCTATGATCAGCTTATATCGATACACGTCTTGGACAAATTATGATAAATTGTGATGCTTGGCTAAAATCTGTATGGCATGGAGTTTTTATGTCAAGAGAAAAACGTGCTAAATTTACTGATCGTTGGCGTCATACAAGCGAATCTTCCTTAACACGTTCAGTTATACATGAATTTGAAGCAGCAGGTATCAATATATTTTTATATATTATCGAAAATTTTGTTTTTATTTTTCAAGGTTTACAAGATATAAGTCAAGATTCTGATTATACTCAAGCAAAAAATTCTTTTCAAGCTGAACCAAAATCCGAAGAACAAGCACATTCCGACGATCAATTTTTAGTTTCATATGCTGATGATTTATCTATGGTATTAACACTTTATCTTGATCAAGTATCTCAATGGAAAAATTGTTTAATGTTTAATGGAAATTATACAATCCAATCACAAATAAAAACCATTCAAGAAAAGTATATAAATTGAAAAAAAAAATTACAACAAAAAAAAATAAACTAAATTTTATATTTATTTCAATAGATTAGATAATCAACAATTTCAACGTTTAAAATCTTTACTTCAAGTTCATGAAAATTATTTACGTAAAACATTTCCATTAAAAGCTGAAGTTCGAAAATATATTTATCTTCTTGAATTTTCTTGTTTTTTATTTACTCTACTTGTTGGACTTAAACGTCGTATGAAAAAAATTCCAAATATGAATCGATTATTACCAATGTTTATCGGTTCGTCAATATATTTAAACATAATAACAACAAAAGAAAAAAAAAAACTTAATTTTTATTTTTCTTATTCATAGGTGAAGACGTTCGGACTGAACGAGAACTTCCACCATTTATGTATATGAAAAAGCAATCAACAAATATATTTCCTATTGATGATGAAACAATGTTTCATTTACATGGTGGTATTCAATTTGAATATGAAACACGTTCACTTAATAAGAAACTTTCTCAGTAAGTTTCTTTTTCTTTTTTCATGAATAGATATTAATTATGTACAATATAACTTTGATTTGTTCTTTTTCTTAAAGAATGTTGAATGGAAAAAATGAATCATTACTTGATCCATCTCGTCGAATTTTATATGGATATTTGGATATACCTAATTCACCTAATATGGAATATCATTTACCTATTGTAGAAATTGATGGAAAAAAGTAGAGTCATTTATTTTTGAGAAATCTTTGCAAAATTTTAGTAAAGAAATAGAAAAACCTTGAAAATGTCGAAGGATACCATACAAAGAAAAACAGAAAAGTGTTTTCTATGCTTTTTAAAAAACTTTTTTTTTATTATCAAATTGCTGCAAGACATTGTATTAGTTTCATAGGTAGTAAACGATATGAAGACATTTGTTGTTTTACAAGTATTGTCCTTGGAACTAAAAGCCCTTGACAAATAATGAAGAGCATTAGATATAAGTGTACTTATTTAACGTCTTTTTCACTTTCTTATACCATTACGCAAATATATATATTCTTTTTATTCGTTGAAGAGATTAGACTTGTTGTAAATTTACGTTCTTTTCTGTTCTCTTCTTCTAATATACAAGATGTATTAAAAGTTACGATTACATTCTAAACAATTGTACTTTCATTTGTAACAAAGTTTAATGTAATACTTTGCTTGTATTCAATAAAGAAAAATCGTTAAATTTTGTTCTTAAAGACAAAAGGTCATAAATACTTTTAAAAAAGAAACATGATTTCTAGATTTCTAGCTACAATATGAAAATTTAGCATTGTTTCGATATGAGAAAATCATATACAACATGTTGTCTTTTTCTATATTTATTTCAACGTATGTCGTTACTGTTGATTTTAATTGAATAAATCTGTCACGATTATTTTATTAACATTCGTTTAGATGTATTCTTTTTGTAAGAATGCCACAATATGAAACCTAATCATAGTTAGAATCATAAAATCGTCAGGTGGTCTTATTTCACCCATTATCAGAGTTTTTTTTATTAATGACAGGAACAACCTGCCTGCGAGAAATGTACTAGTAAATTGATCTTTTAAAAGAGTATCAAATAAATGATTATAGAACTGTAATAAAAGATATTAGGAATGCAAAGTATATAGTAACAATATAAATAAAAGTAACTATAGACAAAAAAAGAAAGTACTGCATATTGTCATTTTCACACCAGAAAAATGTTAAATTTTTATATTATAGCTAGAAGTAATACTTTTCAAAGAGTCTTTTTTGACCTTATATTTTTAGGAATAAAAACTTACAATTTTTTCTCCTTCAAATCATGTCAAAATGTTAAATTAACCTTGACTATTAATGTAGTTATAACCATTTAAAATATAATCATGTCTTTTAAGAAATGTACGCTCTCTCTATATAATCTATACATATCAGTACTGAATAATAATATAATTACTAATGACTAATTTTTTAGATGGCTGAATAATAATTTTGCATTAGAATAATCTTTTCTTTATCGTATCAAGGAGACAGAGAAAAGCATTAAATATGAGTAAGATGATCCCGAAACCAGAACCAACACTTTTCATTAGGAATTATATCTTTTATGGTCATGTAAGATACACATCAAATGTCATATTCTTACGAGTTATGTGTTCTAAAGCTTCATACGAAAATTATTGAGTAACGATCAATTCAATATTTGTTGTTGCAATTTTCATAACAAAATTAATTCTTTCTTTTTTTGTAAACAACAAAGTTGTCGAACACATAAACATGCAGAATAGACGAAATATGAGTAAATCAAAAACAAAAAAATGAATCTCCAAGAGGGGGAAACGTTAGAAGTCATGAAAGTCGTACAAGATGTCTCGAACATATTGACATAAGTAGAGGATCCAGAATTTTGAGCTGGATTCCCTACGGATCTTTGAGCTTCCCTGGCGACTACTGATTAACACTGCCAGAAAATGACATCGTATTTTTTGTAGGTACATATATTACTAAGCACAAAGCCAGAACCATAAACGATTGGGAGGCCAGAATTTCGGGCCAAGGAATTTTCGGCCTGGAACTTCGGCCCGGGCCTAAATTCCGGCGGCGTTTTGGCCCAGGCCGAAATATCACCGGAAATCCGGCCCGGGACGAAATTCATCTCACTGCTGTTAATAAAAAATAGTCTAGCTTCAATGAATAGTTAGCACATTTCCATAGTGCTGAGCAGGACGACGTAGTGCTGATCAGTACGACGTAGTGCTGAGCAGGACGACGTAGTGCTGAGCAGGACGACGTAGTGCTGAGCAGGACGGCGTAGTGCTGATCAGGACGNTATATAAATAAACTTTTCTTTTATAACAATTTAATTTTTACCAGGTAGCTCTCAAAAATCTGTATCTGTCCTGCAAGTGCAGTTTTCATACACACGACATCGGTTGCTAACATTGAAATGGCATTGTGCGATCGATAGTAGAAATGTCAGAGCTACATATGTTGAGGAAATGCTTCAAAAAATGGTCTGAATGAGTTCTGAATCCTTTATTCTTGCAGAGACCAGCATAAAATTCAAATTTAGAACGCGGTTTGAAGTGTTTTTTATTTAAGGCCATTTTATGTACAAACCGTCCCCCCCCCGTCCTTTATCCAAATGACTTCATATATATTTACAAAATGTACAAGTCAAATCTTATTCTCTCATTATGAGAATTGCATTATTGCTTGTTTTGTTCATCAAATCAATAAAAAACATGAAACATTCATGATCAATTCTCTTATGAGATGTGTTTTTTTTTACTTAAACAAATACAAACATATAAGACACACTGTTCTTCGAACAACAAACACAAAAAAAAAAGAAACATAGCAACCATTGAAATTATATCAATATATATATTTATAGATTTTTCATTTATATAAAAACAGCAAAACACAAATGACTAAAATCATAATGTATTAATAATTGTTGTTCGATTTAAAAAAATGTTTTTGTCTTGCAAATTAATAGAATAAATGGTAAAAATGTTCGTGTCCATAATGTATAAAGTATTGTACGAATATGTGTTGTATGAAACACAAGACGTATTGATAAACAATAAAGATCTCGACTGAATTTATCGTCCTAAATATAAAGAATTATAAGCATAATCAAAAAAAGAAAAATATTTCACACTTACTTGACAATATTTTTTATCAACTTGATCAGCAACAAGACGAAGTGAATGTGCTATTTCTTTACACATTAATTTCATTTCATTATTTGAATTTATTATATCATCACGTCCATCATGACAATCATTAACAATATCAGGTAAATTTGATATGGGATTATGTACAATATATGAAGATGTGAAATGATATTTTTGTTTTGTATTTATTGTTGTAGAACGACGTAAATGATATCGTTTAGGTGTATGAGGATTTGGAATAACAGTATAAGGAAGTATGATTGTATTAGCCATATGTGATATAGCGGCCTCACACGTGTAGATGGTGTTATGTATCAATATGTATATATGTCACTTGTGAACAATAAGGAAAAGGAAAAGTGTTCGATAAGCAATCGTGTTTTTGATAGAATGACTGATTAATGGTCACTACTCTATATTTATGTTTGTCGACGACGAGAGAAACAATCTATAATTATGTTCTCTTTCCTTTTTTCTCGTTCTATGTTCATTTAGTATGATCGGATATTGAACATGAGAGACCGAGAGAAAGAGAGAGAGTATAAGAAAGAGAGATCGCCTTTCTTTCGTGTACAATTCACTTTTCGTTTCTTTCCTTCCTGTTTGCCATAAGGTCAAGTTTTCGCATGCATGCGTCGTCTAGCAACAGAAAAGCTATATTTTAATAATACCTTTTTTCTTTCCTTACAATTATTCTTGGCATCAATTCAACTTGACCGCTACTTGCTCCCTCTCTTTGTCTTTCTCTTTTCTCTCGACTGATGTCGCTGTTCGCGTGTGTATACGCGTGTCCTTTTGGAATACATTTCATTCATGATGTGTAGTCCACACATTAGAAAATGACCAAAGCCAATAAAATTATTTTCAGTAGATTTGAACCATATTCCTAATAAAGACTTTCACATGTCTTTGCTGAGAATCATATCCTAGTCTATTATTATTTCTTTCTTTTTAAATTTGCTCACGAATAAAATATTGTTGAAAAAGGCGAATGAGATTGAAAGATAATGTAACTCCAGAGCACAGTGATAGAAATTATTTTGCTACATCAAATAATTTCAATTTTATGTACGAATGTTGAACCTTTTCATAAAGACAATTCATTGATTTCATTGTGTATGTTACCATAGTGATTAAGAAATTATTTTTTTTTTCACTTATTTGATCTTTCAAGTGCATTATTCGATGTCGTCATCGTATTCTCATGCTTTTGTTTCTATATCTGAAAAAATTTGACACATACATGTGAATGTACGATGATTTCTTGTTCATGTCATATACAAGTGTATACTCTTATAAACATAAGTGATGTGACAAAATACAATACTCTTATATAATCATTATTTAAGTATGATGAATAGAGTGAAAAATCATTCAATCAGTAATGATTTGTATTATATTTTAATATTGAGAATAACACGATCGTTTTTTCGTATTTATTCAGTGAAACAAAACGTTTAGATTATTCTATGTTAATTTGAGAATGATGAATAAAGAGAGATAATTGAGTGTTAAGTAGAATAGATAGAATGTATCAAGGGAGGAGCATATGTTGATTAAGTGAATAGAATGGCATTTTAATCAAGAATCTATTGATAATTGATGTTGATGATACTAAAAAAAATGTTCGATTAAATACAAGAAGTAACAATGGAATATGTTTATACATTTGATTATTTTTTTGTTTTTTTTGATAAAATCATACATTCTAACGTTCTTCTATCGAAATATCAAAGAGATTTTTAGATGTTTTATTCACTTATTGATTGACCCACTTCTTTTAGAAACAATTAAATTATTGTTGATTTTATCTTTTTTTCATAGAATTGATATGCAGGTGCAAACAATGAATGAAATTATTCAAGTGATGACACGTGTCTATGTGACATTTATTGTTGTCGTGATCATTTTTCTAGTTTAATTGCTTTAGTATGACAAAAAAAAATGAGAGAAAAGTAAATATGTATTGTACACGATTTTTATGAATATGATCGATCATTTTGATATAAAATTGAATTAATTATCTGATGAGCTGAGAAAGGATTAACTGTATGTGTGTGTCTCTCTCTCATTCTCTGTATGTTAATTCACACGCAAAATGACGATTGATCATATTGAGATAGGCGGAGTAATTGTTTAACATATATGTGAGAAATCGATTCTATTTTTATAAAATTGAATACTTTCTTCCTGTTGTTTTTCTTGTAAGAACTATACATTGTATCAATTGTATATCATTTAGTGAATGAATAACAATACGGTACACATACGCATGAATGAATATGAATAGATAGATCATGTGGTGCAAAACAATGAAGAAATCATTGAATAGACAATAAAAAAAAAAAAAGGCTCTTAGCTTTTTTTTTTGTGTCTATATCTTTGTTCTCACTTTTTTTCTCGTAAAAGAGATCAATTCAGACAAATGTTCGTGTATATCGAATAGGGTCACTCATCAGAATACAATGTCTCAATTGACCAAGATTTTTTTTATTTGATGTTCTACCGCGTTAATTTTATATACCTGTCAATGTTTGTAAACTGCCACGCGTCCTAATTTTTTTTTGCTTTTTTGTTTTTCGTGATGTGTATAGTTTCAAAGAGATGCCGAATAGATGATGACTAGACATACTATCCGTTGGGGAGCAATAGAAGTTGTATGTATTCATTAACAAACAACAAATTGATGTTTCTTTGAAAATCGAAGTAAAGAAGAAAAAAAAAAGGTGGACTGATCGAATCAAAAGAACAAGAAAAAGAATAACAATAATACATTAGTCTATCGATTATGTTTCAATAAAAGTTTATCTAATGGCAATTTAATGCCAGTTATTTCCAATCTGCATGATATTGGCGTCGACTGCAGGTGCTTTATAAATTGTCATGATGAACTTCTCCTCCTCCTTCTCTCTTCTATCATTATTATCTGTTTCTTTGTTTGTTTTCTGTTGTAAACAGCATGTCATAGGCGTCATTCTGTCTATATGAGAAAAGCCACACGCACGTATAAAATATGTTTACAACTATATATAGAAATCGAGAATAAACAGACAAGATATTATAATAATGAGTATATTGTCTGAGTAGCTGATGATATAAAATAAAGTTAAATTAATTTTTATATCGATAATTATGAAATTTCCATCAAGTACAATGATATGATAGTTAAATTCAACACATTCTTTTCATCTCATCTAATTAACGAATAAACATTTTAATTAGTTGTTTCTTTTCATATTCATATTATATGTATATCATCATGTATTTTATGCCGATGTGTACTCAATATATTTTTTCTTGGATGTGATCAATTGAAAGAAGAGTCGGTAACATCAAAAAAGAAAATATATGGATGAGTTCAATGTTGATTTTACTACTAGAAGCATTAGAAAAGTAACACTTAATTGCTAAGTAGACAAGAAATCAAAAGAAAAGTACAGTCGTCAGATGTGTTAAGCACGCGTCATTTATTACTATGTAGGTGTCAGACTTAACTCAGCATGCCAATGTCTGGTCATACGATTTAAAGTCAAAAACAAAACGAAGGATAAAATATCACCGACGTATTTCCGATTTTTTTCATGTCCCATGAGGCTAATCGATGATGATCAGAAAGATCGACCAAGCAAAGTGTCAAATGCAATGAACTTATTATTGTAGATCAAAGAAATGGTACATATCCTCTTTTGGGGATTGATGCTATTTGCTTCTCCTCCTTTTTTCTTTTCCTGTTCCTCTATAATTGTTATCCATCAATGAATACTTTGATTTTTTTTATAGCCATAAGCTAAAAAAGAAGAAGAAAAGACATTGGATTCAGTCTCTCTTCGTATCAATTGATTTTGTCTGTGTGTATGTATGAGTAGCACATGTGTCACATTTTCACTGATGAGATTATAGACACTGTACTTTATCACATTATAAGAAGTACCGATGCAGAAATAATACATAAGACAAATATACCTACCATAAGTACAGTAATAATCATATAGATGATTTTCTATATACAGAAAATTTTTACCTGGAAAATAAATTAATATTATATTTTTTGGGATACAAATGTGTTTTGCTTTTTGCTTGAGATAAGTATCCAATAGTAAAAAAAAGAAGATCTTATTTAAAAAAAAATACTTTTCCATCAAGCACCAATAAGGAAAAAGAAATCAATAGTGCGATCAAACAGGTGCGTTAGGTTCTATTGTAGCTTCTGTATTAGATCTTGAGCGATATTGTGGTGGTGCACTTGGAATAACTGTTTCAATACCAAAATCAGTAGGATGTGCAGCAACAAAATTATAAGGTGGTGGTGTTGTATCTTTGGCTAGTGAATCTTTGCTTATCGTTTCATAATCTGGTAAATCTCCATTATTCATCATATAAACAGGATTATTATTGACTGATGTAGGATTTAATCCTATAACTAGGTTTTATTGAAATATCTAATATAAAGTGAAGTTTAAATTGAACAAGAAAAATTACCTCGAGATTGTCTATGAAAAGGACATTTACATCCAACACCACAAAGTTTCAAAAATGGTCGTAAACACAGCAAGCAAACTGCAATCACGCAAAGACTAACAACAATAACAATAGGTACTGTTCTAAAAACGAAAAGAAATACCAATAATAATGATTTTAATATAATCAAAAAGCTTTGTTTTTTTTAAAGCCTTACGATCTCCATGAAATACTATAGCAACATGCCGTTTGTGGAGAAGTAGCCGTACCCGAACAACAAGAACCTTTACAACTAAAAAGTAAAAATATTATAATTTTTTAATAAATTTCTTCTATGTTATTTCAAATATTAAAATGAACTAACGAGATCGAATTAATTGCTGATTGATTACGATAATAACATAAGTCATCAGCTTGAATCTGTTTCATATAAAAAGTAAATTGATGATTCAAAAATAATTAGAAGATTTCAAAAGATCTATTCTTTTTTAATACTAACTTGTTGTATCAAAAGAACATATAAACAAAGACCAATTTCAATAAGCATTTTTTTTTTCTCAATTTTTACACAAGCATATACAGTTGATTAAAAAAAAGTATTCGTTTGTTGCGAATTTTTGAAGAAACAAAAAGAAAAAAAAAGAAACTGCCATTTTTTTACCATTTCAATGGTTTCATCATCGGAGTTTTTCTTTCGAAGAAAAAAAAGCAACGACATTTTGAGCTCTTTTTTACTGTTGAAATTGAGATTCTTTTTTTTTCTTTCTCACTGTTGACTTTTTAAACGTAGCTTAGGGGGGAAAAAAGAAAAAATAGAAGAAAAGTTTTTCTTCTATTATGCCTATTCCTACGTATCAAATGAACTCTATGTATTAAAAAAAGTCAAGAAACGAATGTAAATCGATGATAGAAATATTTCCAATAATATCTATTACGTTGATTACAAGTTGTAAGAGATCATCAATAAAACAAAAAACTACTAAATACATACTAAACGCTCATTTTAATATAGCATGTTGAACATTTTTTTATTGAGTTATAATCATTAAAAAGATTCATTCGGAAAATTGTTGATGTTTTCCATAATTAAAGTCACATGATGTCGACAATATTCATTGAATTTTTTATCGAAGAGCTTATAAAAATCGTTCCAAAATAAGAGCTCGAAGTTTTTTAATATTAATAATTACAATAGAATTTCTGTCAGTTTGCATACTGAATAAATCAATCAAAGAGAAATCATTATTATTAATGTGCGCCATTTCTGACATGATGATCATATGGAAAAAAATGCTCTACCTAATTCAATATATTTTTCTTGTTTTAGACAAAGAAATATATTGATCACAATTTTGATTTTCTATTCAATAGAAATCTACACAAATAAATACAGAAATATATGAAACATTTAATTTGAAGTTAGAATCAGCAAGTATTGAAGTAGAACGAAATATATCGATAGTTCACATTTATAGTAAAAAAATTCTATGGTTTTAAACACGTGCTGGTCGTTGATTAAATAAATTTGAAAATAAACAAATATTGAAGAATTATTTTAGATGTCATATGAATAAATTCTAGTGTTGTTTTCTTTAGATCGGGTCCCAAAAAAAACTTGATCTGGGTCATTTCTAGTCTATGTTCATGTTGGAAGTTTGTTCGCACTACCACCGGCAGTAGATTGCCAGTCAGATCGATCGCGTTCAATTTCAAAAATTATGAATCCGACAGACTTTATAACTGACCACTTCGATTTATCGGCGATTTGAGTCACATAGTAGGACAAAATGAATTTTTCGATTATGAGAATTATTTTTCTTTATTATATCTGTAAAAGATAGAAATTATGAATAACATTTTCATTGTCACCATGTTTTGATATTTCATGAAGTTATTTTTTTCACTCGGAAGATAGCCACAGTTTAAGACTTATAAATTCTAATAGTTTATTATTTAATTGAATTAATATAGTTTCAATAAGATGATGTTGGAGTAATTGATATTACTATTATTCATTCTGGATGGATGATAACTAAAATTGTTCTTTATTATTATTGTTTTTTTTTGCAACTGATGAATCATTTTTTGTTTTTGATATTATATCATAAGATGGTGGCAATTCTTCAAAACTGATGGGTTTATAGTAGGGATTGAAATAAATTGACGATACGTTTATAGGATAATCATTGATAGGTTCTAATCGACAAAAAACAAAAATTTTTAGTATAAAAGTATAAAAATTTACTTACTTATTGATAAATTTGTTATATTTTGTTGAGATTTTTTCTTATTATATCGATGAATACACCATACGATTATACATAAAATAAGAGTAAAAATAATTGGAATAAGAACAACCAAAATTCTGAAATTTAAACAAGTTTATTTTTATTATTGTATTTATTTGAAATCGAAGATATCTAAATCTTACATAAATATATGTGAATCGTGATCCAAAACTGGATATCGCAAAGGTGATCGGCTATGATCATCAAATCGTGCGATCGATTGTGAACTTCGATTAATAAATGGTGGCCGTATATGTATTTCAGAAATATTTGAAAGCAATTCAATAAAAGGCTTTCGTCGTATATTTTCTATGTTTTGCATATTCATACTTTTATTCGATCATACTAAGCACCTTTTAAGTGTTATGAGATTGAATAAATGAATAGTTATGAGAAAAAAATCACGATCTACTAGTCTCTATTCAAGATTTTTCTTTTGCTCTATTTCTTCCTGCTTTTTTTTTCTACAATATATTGACATATACATACGCATATCTATATTATTAATATATGGCATATAGATGTGTGTTTTTATTGATAAAACGACAATATTATTTCTTTAAATAAATACAGAATTGGCATTTTTTTTGTATACGAAAAAAAAAGTAACTGATATTTTTTTACGATTTAATATTATGATTAATGAAAATAATGTTTTTCATTAAGTTGTAATCATCTAGATCAATTTTTTTTTTCAATCAAAACAATGTTTATTATTGAAAATTTTAATAATATAATATATGAAAAAGAAAGACCCTTGACAATTTTCTAATCGATATATATGATTGCAGTCACTTAAGTAATTTCCATAAATAAATATTCATTTTGAAAGTATACTTCTTATGCAAAAATTAAGGTTCTAGCTAAACAAATAAAAGAGAAAGATGCATGTGAAAATATCATTAAATGTTTTTCCTCACATATAAAAATACAAAACAGAAAAAAAAACCCTGCAAGACCGAACACTAGTAAATTCTATGTAACGAACTTGATGAGCGAAATGCCCGTGAGATAGTAATACTAGCTTTATTTGACTTCTTCATATAACAAATCGTCTCATTCACATATATTAATATAAAAGACAAAAGAAATTTGTTTTATGTTCTGATTATTCAACATTAAAGAATTGGTTTTTGAGCACTGAGAAGTGTATGTAACAAATTTTCTTCATTGCATCTCTCTTTTACATTTTGAGTTAGAACCTTTTTTTTTTTTTTTTACATAGTAAGTACACTTTTTTAAAAGCTATTTAAAATGACTATTTATGTGTTGAAATTGATCAAGTAATTGCAAAGATATATTGAGAGAAAATTTCCTGAGAACTTTTTTTTTGTCATAGTTTATATTGCTATTGATAGAAATGCGAATGAGACTTGAATATATTATAATATTTTATGTCGAAATCAATTTGATTGTATTCAGTTATGAAGGAAACATAAAAAGGAAGAGTTAATGCAGTATATTAAGTAGTAAATCGAATAAATCCAAAGTACATTCATATTATTTTTCTTTCGATTTTATACAAAAAACCTATTGAAAAATTATTCAGTTATAAAAAAAGGACATTTCTATTTTGCGTAAATATTTTTTGTTTTTTGAATATAAAAATATGACTAAAATTGATTGATCAAAAATTGCCAAATGTCATTATTTCGTCGTAAAATATATTAAAACAAATGATCATTATATTTTCGATTTATTATTATATCTATGAATTAGTTCTAAGTCATGTTATGTAATTACCTTTCTCTTTTATTATTTAGAACTTACTGTATAAGATTTGAATCTATAAAATTTTTCATTTCAAAATGAATTTCGAAAAAAAATCATGCTTACTTTTTGCCAATAATGAGAGTTTTGAGGTCGAACAGAATGAATCTGTTTATCAAGTGAACTTTGGAGAAGATGATTTTACTATACATAAAAGATATTTGACATCTCACTCATCCTAGGTCAAAAAACAGCTTTATATACCTTATGAGATGTTTCAAGTAAGTCATTAGTATACATACATATACAGATTCTTCATACTGTGTATTTCTCAACAATGCATCTACTTAGCCTTGACAATTATCGATAATTATATATAGTTAAATGTTCGTCTTTTTCGGATAGGGAGTCTTTTGAATAATTAATTACTTTATATACTCTACGCCTGGTAGATACACTGTCAAAAAGAAAAGGAAGGCTTATAGCTATAATATAAATGAATAATTCTAAAGGCACCCTAGTCTGATATTTCTATTTGAAATCAAATAGCCTAATATATGTAAAATTTGATCATTAAAAGAAATATTCTAATACAATAAAAAGTATTTTCTATAATCGAGAAGACTATATTCGAATTGAAATTATTTCACATATCAAAAGCACACGTGTGGCATCGGAATTCGAGACTATCGGATATGTTCTTAACATTGTGACTTTTCAAGTAAAGTCTTTTAGGATTTCATAAAAATAAATGGTTTTATCATTATGAATACTAAAATATGTTTTCGTCATCGTCTGATTGCATTTATTCATCTTGTTCGCTTGACATTGTTTCATCATCTTTATATAATCGTTCGTTAATTGTTTGCACAGAAGCTGTCTGTTTTGATTTAATTCATAAAATCATTTCAAATAAACTAAATTTTTATTTATAAAATATTATTTTCTCTATTTTTTAGTTACTAATCTTCATGAGACGGTTATACTTATACATACTGATTACTGGTGATTTTCCTTTTAAATATAAGAAAAAATTTCGTACTGATGAAAGAAACTAATAGAGGTTTTTTCTATAAAAATAAAATAGATATCGAAAATGATTAAACAGATTGATTATTGTTTTTTTTTTGTATTTTTGCGATTCATAATTTGAAAATTAATTCAATCACAGTTATCTGATTATAATCATGTTACAATTCTTTTGATGAAGAATTATTTGCAAGAGTAAGCCTTTTTTTCTGTAGATAACTAGGTAACAAGATAGTTTTTATTGTGTATTGCAACTTAGTCCTCTTATATAGACAAAAATCAAATAATATAATATCTTTATTTCTATAATAAAAAAGAGATGAAGATTTGTAGAAATTTGTTTTCTTTAGAAAATATTTAGAGCTTGAAATCAGAATTTTTCTCATTATTATGATGAATGAAAATTTTTCAACCTTAAAGAGGAGCAATTAGAGTCACTTAAGCCTATTATTAGAAAGATAAATTCAGCTCCTATAAAAAAGAGAATTATAATTGAGAAAAACTATTAATTATTGTACTCAGGATGTTATTCTCGTTCGCATGATATATAATAATTAGAGTTTGACTAACTTCTTTTTTTTTGTTTTTAATGAGTTATGAATCCAGGTCGCTATTCATATAATCAAATAACTTTTGTCGCTAACGCGTTTTGTTGAAAAAGCTACTCATGATAATAATAAAAAAAAAAAATTTCTGATGTTAAATCTTATCCTTTTGTAAAGTAAGTAATCTTCTACGCATCTCTCTATCTTTAAAAAAGGATTTTTAATCATCCTTTTTTTTTGATACAGCAATAAAGGTATTTTATTCGCATGTGAACTAAGAATGGTATTAATTAACAATCGAACTATTAGAAAGGCGAAATTTTTGATAAGATCTTTTCGAGATGTATTCAAAATCTAAATATTTCTAGTTTAATATAATTATTATATTCTAAAAGTCACTTCTACTGGATGTTTCTCTTGATAGGTAACTTCAATAACAACTACCTTGTTGTCTAGAGAAAAAAAACTTGCTCTTGCAAAGAATTCTTCATTAAGAGAATTCTACCTATAATATAATCAGATGATTTTAATTGATTTAATTTTTGAAATATGAATTGCGAAAACGAAAAAAAAAATGAATCTATCTTTTGAATGATTTTCAACACTTACCAAAACAGATAAGAAATATTGTTCGCGTTTGAACATTTTCACGTTCATTCGAAAAACATCAAAGCCAGTTCTATTCTCATTAGAAAAGTTGCACGAAGACACTTAGAAAGATAAATTTTGCATAAGAAAAATATTTAAAAAGTTTTTTCACAATATTTCTGACGCACACTACTCATAAAAAAGTCGCTTTCATATGCAAAACACTTTAAAGTATTGTGAAAAAGAATCTCATTGTAAATTTCCCTAAAACAAAATTGCCTTTTTTTCAGCATCTTCGAGAGCGTTTGCTGGTAAAATTAACAGGTAGTATTGAAATTTTCTGAATGAACATGAATATAAAATCTTGAAACATATACCAAAAATAAAGAATTTTTTCGAGAGCTTTGCAGAATATTTGAAATTTCAGCGAAACCTTCATGAAATATTTATCAGCATTTTTTCGTTTCTTGACCGTTGCTCTTACATGATTGAGTAGGTGTTCATTTTCTAAATTTTACGTCAACAAATAAAATCATTTGAAAATCAAAAACATACTTTTGCAGAGCAAGATATTCTCTACCGAATGAGCCTAGAGCAAAGTCTTTAATGCATTGGGAAGTACTCTGAAAAGAGAAGAACATATTGACCCATTTATTATGGACCACCCGTTATTATATGAACTGCTTCCTTCTTTCATTTCCTAATGATCAAGTAAAAGGATAGTGAAGAAATGTGTCTCGAATAAAACAATCATCCTGTTATTAACAACAGTAGCTACATTATGTTTTACATTTTAATGTCGCATGAATGGCGCCGACAACATTTGTTTTTTTTTTGACAATAGTTTTTCTTAAAAGATTACGAAGAAATTATCGCATTTTTTTAGTCTAATAGTTTTTCTGTTGACTATTTTCTTGTTTTCCCAACACTTTACACATTTTTTCATAGGAAATTTTCTTTCTTATGTGTTTGTAGTCTTTGTCTATATTTGGTTGTTTTGTATTTTATACAAAAACAAACGAACAGATGACCTTGTTTTGTAAATATCATTTTTCTTGAATATTAAATGAGAATTCTTTCATTAATTCTAAATTATTGTCTTCAATATAGATTCTTTTCGTACGTCTAAAGCATTTCCGTATATGATAAAATCATTATGATATATGAATAATATATCAAATACCTAAGGTTCTATTCGTACATTATCATATTTCTTCTTTTCTTTTTCAAATTAATTATGCTAAAAACAAAACTTCTCTTATATTATTCAGTCGTTGTTTTTGCTTTTTTCTTTAATAAGATTTTTTCTCATGTGTAATGGTCTGATGTAGTAATAATCATGCATTGTTTTTATTCTTTTCTGATCACTTGTTTACAATATGTTGGAAGCTTTTATGTTGTTCCTCTATTCCTTATTCATTAGTTCTCTTCCAGTTTTTCTTTCAAATCTAATCCAACATGTCACTACATTTATGTAAGTGAAGTGCAATTTTATTCTATTGTTATATTCTAATATGAAAAAAATTCAATATTTTGACAATTATTTTCAATCAATTAGATTCCTTTAATAAGTCTTCAATAGTACTTAGAAAACCAGGGATTTATCCTACATAAATTATAAGATATTAAGCAGATAACGTCTAAAAGATCGATTTTGGCTGCCATCTAGCCTAAACACATATCGCATAATCTATCTTTTAGTTTATTTGTTTAAATTTTGAAAGATTGATTTATGTTTTTATCTCATGATTCTTTTTTTTCTGAATTAATAAATAAATGAGAAATAAAATTTGTATTGTTTCACGTTTATTAAAATTATAAAATAACACTTTTCATTTGACTCATTCTATAACTATTTGGTGTAAGATACAATTTTGTATTATTTTATCCATTTATTGTGATCAACCATCATTGAAAATTTTAGCATCAGAAAACTTCTGCATCATGAGAAAAAAACTACAAAAAAAAATAGTGTCAGCATGTCACGCAAGGTCTTCTATGAGAAACCTGTCACGCAAAATTATAGCATGTTTTATACTTTCCAATTAAAATGAAGGTAAACCTATCATGTATTTATTAGTTTAGTTCTTATCTTTGGTACTTTCAAAGTTTCTATGAACTCATTCTACATTGCATTGTATGAAAGTTATTTTGTGCAGATCGTGTCATACTATGAATAGATAGCATAAAAAGCGCGATTAATTTTATATTGTTGACATTTATTGAACCTTGAATCTCAATTACATATCGTGATATATAAAGAAAGTACTTTCAAATTTTGACTTCAAGTATTTTTGTAATGAGTTTTCCAAACCGCTCGTATTTGCGCAATTACTCGAGATGTAGGCGAAAAAAATATTTTCATGATGTTGAACGATTTTCATACGTCTTGACCATATTAATAGAGATAGTCAGAAAAATTTATTCGTTGTCTTATCTTATATAGTACAGTAAAATGCACTAATTATTATTGTTTAAATTAAGACTTTTTTTCGAAACAATACAATAACATTTCAATTCTCTTATATAACCATTTGTTAACACGTGGCTTCACAGAACGAAAACACGTGTATCTCAGGATAAAGAACTTCCCTTGAGTCAATTTTCATATATTAGATGTATATTAAGCTACTTTAACTCCGCCGCAGAAGTCAGCGCTAGCAATCTTTATTTAGAGCAGTTATCAGTAAAAAAAAATCGAGCGTTAACGACGTGATACAAAAAAACTTTGATGTTCTTTTCCGGCATTTTAATTTAAAAAAAAGATTTGCACTGAGGCACCATTCTTGACATTAAATAGTGTATAAATAGACTATTTCTGAGTACAAAATTTCTATTTAAAAGTTTTTTCTACCCATGCCTATCTTTTTCAAAAAAACAAAACGATTTCACCTTGCGTTAACGACATGATGGAGTACGAAAAAACGCTCTTACAAAAATACTTCGAAATCTCTTGATGATGGTAAGAAAAAAAATTTTCGTTTCAAAACTTGATAGAATCTCTAGAAACAGATTTTTTTTGAATTTTGATCTTACTGAAAATTTCATCATAGAAACAATTCATGCTGTAGGATTCTGAAGTTTTCAGATGTTTCACTCATATATAGTTAGCGAGATATTCGCTAATTAATTTTTAATTAATTGTCAGCTGGAAGATCCAATATTTTTACATATGCCTCCAGTAAAAGAGTATTTAGAAATATAACCTTTATAAAGAATCAAAGTCAAATAGAAGTTGGAAATGTCCCGCTTTGCCTGGAATGCTTCATGTATATATATGCGCAGTTCGTTTCTTTTGATAGACGGTTGTTCATTGTGTTCTTGCTATCTCATCTAACAGATATATTGTTTCGTCTTTTCTTCATATATCAAATAAACCAGATGTTTATCTTCTCTTATTCTTGCTGAAATAAGATCTCAATACATGACAATATAATTTTGAAATGCTGCTTGACATTTATATCAGACAGAATGAAATGGGTGTTTTTTTTCATAACTTCTAGTTTTAGCTAAAATGTTTTTTTTGTCGTACTCTGTCATTATATATATATATATATCTATAAGTCATCATTTTGGATAAATCTATTCTGACATAAGTAATCGTATCAAATTATTATTACGATTTTAGTTTTCTACTCGTTACTCATTTTGATGAAAACTGGTCATGAAGTATTATTACTTCTATTTATATCCAATCTGATTAAACGAACCTCTTTTATTTTCCATAGTTTTGAATCATAAAGGGTTACTTAGATATAAAGGTAGGCATGAAAGAATAAGAAAAAAAAAAAAGAGTAATTTCTTTTCAATTTATAAATAAAATAGTTAAAAAGAAATATATTTTCAGTTAATGAAGCTTTTCTCATTTTATGCGTATTCGTTACACTTTCTCATGCTAAATGCTGTTATTTTTATTTGTTTTATATAAGTGTTAACATATTTTAATAAATACAAATATGCGTATTTTTAAATGAATCTATTCTGGTAAGTAGAGAAGGAATACTTTTTTTTTCTACAATACACATTAAATAATGTCCCGATAATTATGAAAACCAAAAATAATTACAGATTGATATTATTAAAAAAGTTTAGAAAGATATATGATGCAATAATTATAGAATCATCTTTCGGTTTATTTTTTCGGAGAATCATAAAAATAATTTATCAATTTTTCGGGATCTCACATTAAATATTCGAACTTCTTATGAAGTTTTTCTTAATTATATTTTGACTAATACTCAATGTTTAACATCTTATTTAAACATGAACAGCGAATTGGTATTGAATTACGTCGATGAATTATTCATAGTTTAAATTTTTTTGTTTTTGTTTGTTTGGATCTTTCGCGTTCTTTTTTTCTCTATTTTGCTACTTCTCAGCAGGAAACTCTTCCTAAAGCTTTTTTCCATTATTTAAAACTTTCATATGATTAAGCTAATTGATTCGATCATTTCATTTTTCTTTTTTTTCTATCATATATGATAGACCTCTACATGATCGTTTATATTCTTAATGACGACGTTTTGAGAGGAAGTTATTTTGACAGATTTAGATCCGTTCAGTTTAACTCATCAAAAGGCCATTTATCGATCTCTCTTAGAAGAAGCAATATGCATGTAACAACTCTGAAGACATTGAGCATGCATTTGAATTCACGATAGATTCGATTATTTGATGAACGACATGTTGATGTTATTGAGCTTTGCTTTCGCTTACAAGTATTTTATGGTCTCTATTTATTTTCTATGTTCGCAATTGACACTATCTTCTACTGGAAAGTCATGAAAGTCAGTTTAAATAAAGTATATAATAAAGAAAAACAAAAAAGGAAAGGTAGGTAGTAGCGAATATGTAATTTTTTATGTATTTGACTGAACTTCATAATGAATTCTACTAATTATTAATTCAAAGAATACAGTGCAGCACTTTATTTAATTGAAATTAATATTGTAAATATAAGCATAACAAGTTTATATCGAGGAAAATTTTTATTTTTCCATAATGTGAGCATAAATACTTTTCATCATTATACTTAAAACATTCGTTGTTCTTACATGGAATGCTAAATATTATGTTCTCTTTTATGTTGTATAAGACATATAGTCATTCGATTTGAAAAGAAACACTATATGTCATATATGACATTCTCATTTTATGATAAAACACTTTTTTCTTTTTATCTAGAATCATATTTATTCAATTCATCAAAATGAAATTGTATTATATATACTTTAGATAATTCCAATCAGTATGTATTTTTATTTGATCAAATGATCTTTCGTCATAAGACATTTATCTCTGGCATATCTTTCATAATATAAAGATTTATATTTACAAACAATATATACATATATGGGTATTTTATCTATTGTTATTTTAACTTGTAAAAGTGTCGCATTAGCATGTTTATTTATATCTGTTTACGCATATCATTGGTTTCAAATTGATAACTATTCAGGTAAAACGAGATACATGTTTTGTTTTTTCTTTAAAAATAAAATAATAAATTTTATTTTATATATAGTCAACAAAGATCTAGTTCAAGATTTATGTATTTCATATGGAGCATTTTGTAATTTAGAAGACCAAATGCCATTACCACGTTTAATTGTTATTGCACCATGTGTATTTTTAGTTATTAGTCTTTTATTAGAAATTATTAATCTTTGTTTATTATGTCCAGTATGGTCACGTGTTCCAACATTATTAAATTGTTTTCTTGGTAAATTCAAAATTTTATTTATTTTTTTGATTGTTTTTTGAGTCTATTTTTTTTTCAATCTAGAACAAACAAGTGTTGCTTTATCATGCGCTGTTACAATTCATTGTATTTGGGTTACTATTGTTCATATTCGTATATCAATGGAAATGCGTATAGTTCATCTTCATTGGACATTTTTTGCTTTTGGATTAGCTACTATACTTATTCCTATTGATTGTATTTGTTCAATAGTTCGCATTGTAAGTTTTATTTCTTTTTTATTTATAAATTGTTCATTGACTTTTTTTCTTTTATTTATATAGATGAATAATTGTCAATATGACGAAAATAGTGAAACAAATCATGGCATACAATCTTATAGACGTAAATCAATTTTTAATTGTGTTGTTTAAACTTAGCAACAGAGGCTTACTCTATAATTCAATTTTATTTTTTTCAATCAATATTTTAGATTTTTTTATTGTTAAAATGTTGTAAAAATCTTTTATTTGATGAAAGAATAACAGTAAATCATAAAAGACTCTATTTTCATAGATAACCAAAAATCACACTTGTTATTGAAGCACCATCAACAATATCAAATAATTCACATGACAGTAGTATGTCTTTAAGAGACTGCAATTGTAATTTTGAAATTATATTAGGTTTTGACAGATAATATAAGATAAAAATTACACTGATACTCAATAGCAAAGCATTACCTTTAGTTGCTATTTTGTAATCTGATGCTTATCTAAAAAAAAAAGATATCTATATAATCGAACTATTTTTATAAATCGAGGAAAGAATTGTAATCGATCATATGAAAGTATAGATTAGTTACACAAATGCATTCACCACTCTTGAGCAGTTTTATTTTGATATGCAAATTGATGACATGTATTACAATATTTGTATCCATTAATACTCATCATTGGATACGAAGTATTCATGGAAATTCATATGGAGGTATGATACTAATTATTTTTTCTTTTTTTGTACAACAAAAAAATATTAAATTTTTATTAATATAGGTTTTAAATTAGTATGCTATGATTATGGTCATTTCTGTTATGCGAAGGAAGCTACTAAACGAGGAATACATTTTTTTTTTATAATCAGTTCAATTAATTGTATATTGGAGTTATTAAATGTTTTTCTTTTATGCAAACGAAAACGATCTCGTATTAATCTAATATTAGGTGAGTTTAAAAAAATAATATATATATTTATCTATAATTTTCTTCTTTCTATAGAAGAACTTGCTATTCTAACAACTTTGATATTTGTATTAGCTACTGTTATCCTAATTGTTATGGGATTTGTTGTAGTTGCAAGTCAATCACATGAAATGATTGATTGGTCATTTATTATATTTATTTTATCATCCATGTTAGGTTTTACTGATTTAATATGTTCATTAGTTCGCGTGGTAAGTATTCAATATAAAATTATAAAGATTCATTTATTTATTAAATTTTTCTGTTTTCCTTTTTATAAAAGGTTTCATATTGTCGTGAAAATTCATTTCGTTCAACTTCAATAACATATACAGTCAATGATAATCAGGGAGCAGTTCAAATTCAATCATAATGTTTCTTTTTCTCATTTGTTTCTTTTTTTTTTCTTTCAAACTATAAATTATGTAAATAATGCAAATGAGATAAAATGTAAAAAAAAATATAAATAGGAAAAAACAAAATGAATAAAAGAGAACCTATTTTCTATAAACCATCGATGATTAATAATAAATAAAATAAACGAATGATTTTTTTTTTCATCCATTTGGTAATGTATGAGGTTTTAAAAATATTTCAGCATAAGATGGTGGCATTGCTGAATATATAGATGGAGTTATAATTGGCGAAGATCGATGAATAGTTATTATTGATGGCGTTGTACGAATAGGTGAAAATAATGATATGGGTTGTCGTCGTGTTTGATTAATTGATATGTCATATGATGGTGGTGATTGTTCAAAAACAGGTGGTGGCCTACGTGGACGACGTTGTTGTTGAGAATTATTGATACGTGTAAAATCGATTATATAAGTACTTGGAGGTGGTCGTTCGCGTGGTTGTTCATATTCATATACTGATGATCTATCTAATAAAGAAACAATTTTTCTTTTTATCGTAAGAAATAATAAGCTTATAAAACAAAGAGTTCACTGATTTTATTTTCGCTATTGACATATTTCACTTGTGACAAACTTCTACTCTTTCTCAAGAGTTTTCGAGTGCGTCTAACAATTATAAACATTATAATCTTTCTTTTTTTTGTTTTTACATTATTCTGTATCTACAAGTTATGAAGCGGCTCTATAGGACTTGGCTTTGTTAGAAATGCATAAATTCAAATAGTTCATACTTGGTTGACGATGTAGTTTTCGATCTCTTTTTCGATGTGAAAAATAAATAATGGCACAAACACTAATAGCAATCAATGCCGGCACAATTACACATATAGAGCTTAATTAAAAATCAAGATAACTTTTCATAAATTTAATTCTTTTGTGTTTTATGACTTACATAATTAATGCAGTCGTATCCATTTCACCATTAGGCATACTGATATTTTGAAACAATCAATTGTCATCCACATAAGAAAGATAAATAATGTATCTATAATTAAAAAAAAAACATATGAGAATGACAATAAAAATATTTGAATAAGAGAAAAAAAGAGTACCATTTAGTATTTGAGAACATCAGGTCACCATAGAAGAAAAAAATGCACGAGCGAAAAATGTGTGTCATTGCATAAGATTTTCGTTTTTTTACAGAACTGCTTCAATTTCTTCTTTTCTCTGTCCTTTGCATGACAAAAAAAAACGTTGAGAAGGTGAAGTGTCTCGCAGTGGTAGCAAGGCCAAAAGGTAATCATCAAGCCTGTATAGATCTATGCACACATGTACTTTTCAAAGTAGAGAGCATTTAATTTTCTTTCTCTCTGTCTCTCTCTTTGTCCTCTAACAATTTTTTATCAGGATTTGTTTTGATTTCATATGAAAGCGACGAAAGAAGAGAAAAACACTAAAAAAAGAAAAACTTAGTTACCGTTACATCACCTGTCGTTCGACTTCTTTTCGTATGATTCAATCATCAAATAATCAATGTTCAGTTAGGCTCATTGATGAAAAGAAGAATACTAAATAGACTTGTATTAATATATGCACACAAGTATTCAAGACAAAATAAACGCAGCATGTAGACCATGAAATCTGTAAATGAAGTAAAAGAAAAAAGGAGTAAATATCAAACGCTAAAGAATTCTTTTTGATAAATGTCATTTTCATTTGACATTATAAACAAATATTAAATAATAAGAAATAAAAAGACTGTTTAAACCTTGAGAAACGTTGCTAAATATTTGCTTCTTTTATAATAAATCAATTCTGATGTCCTTATAATCCTTTAAAAGTGTCTTTCTTTTTCTTTTTGATAATAAGATCAAACACGTACAGAGCAATAAACAAAAAAAACAAAGAAAGATTAAAAAGAAACATAAAACAGAAAAAAAAGAGAGATATATGTACTCATTCAATAGTTAGTTCATATTCGAACTAGAAAAATTAATAAAAATGTCATGATTAACAGTAATCTTGTATAGATATGATCATTAGTACGAGAGCTAAAAGATAATAAATGACGAATGTCATTCGATTGATTGTGGTTCGTAGTGCGCCATCGCTAAACAAAAAAATATATATAGATCTTAATTGAAGATTTTCTAACAAAAATTAACCTTATATCCTGAGTATTGCATAGATTGTCCAGGCAATATTTCACGCATATAGTCTTTCCTTCGGCTTTGCTTGAAAGACATTGTGATTCTTGGGTAATATTGCCCGTCGATAATGGTGGCATTGTACAACCACGGCTGAACTGTACTAGTTTTCCTTAAATTACATATATATATATAAGCACATATATAAAACAAAGATTTTCTTAAATTTGCTTTCTTTTTACCGACGCCGTTTATGGTTTTTTTGCTGTAGCAAATTTGTTGTGTCGATTCGCACATCGTCGTCGTTGTCTGATTGGGATTTAATTGACAATCGCTGTTCTCCTTCTGACTTTCGCAAGAGTAACAAAGCATACCTATAGAAGGCTATAGAAGATGAAGCAAGTCACGTCGAACAAAAAAATAGGAATTCATCTATTACCTTGTACAGGATCAAATTCAACGGATTTTTCTGGTGTACATGTATCATATTCAGACATTGATCGACTTAATATTGATATTGGCTTATTTGATGATGATGATGATGATGATGATGATTTAGATAGTTTCTTTTTTGTTGATAGACCCATTTCATCTGTTATATCTTCATCTTCAACATCATCGTCATCATTTGATGTTGATTGTGTTACACCAGCAACTGGATTATCATAACCTTCGACTAATTCTTCACAATTAAGCTAAAGAAATTTAAAAATAAAAATAAATATGATAGAAAAAAACACAAAAGAAAGTCGAATAAACCTTATCAGCACCAACCCATTTACATGTTTTATCATTAGGATCAAAATAAGAACCTGAATAAAAAACAAAACAAATTATTAATTAAATTGTTTAAAATTTTAATATGATGTTTTTGAACGATTTCATTTATAGACTGCGTTTGGTTCTGCTTATGAGGAAAAAGAATTAAAGGAGAAAGGTCTCAGCTGGAACTTTTAATATTCTCATTATTAATCGTAAACATTTATCATCTTTGTCAATATTTATTGTCCCAGTAAATTCACAAAGGAATTTCTCATCAATGGAAACAAATATTTTTCTAATACATGCAAAGAAAATGTCTACATCAATAGACAATCTATTTTCCACTGAAAGATTAAAAATTTTAACTATCTACAATAGAAAATTCTCAGGTAGAAATGTAGAACATGAGAAAAATTTAGGACAGGCAAATCATCCTGCTCTCTCATAATCATGTGGTCTGATTGCATTAGAATTAATGAGTGTGATATTCATTCTGATTCATCATTGTTTAAAAACAAACTTTTTCGATTTCGAAAAAATTCAAAACTTCTGATCACATTAAGAATACATTTACTAGAACATTATGCATTATCTCTGATATTCAATCACCAAGAATCCCTATTTTTCATGGGTAGACATCTTATTTTTGTTCTAGTGCCATGTATCCATGCAAAAAAAAACGGTTAGATATTAGATTGAAAAGAATTATTCTTTATCAAGAATAAATTAAAATGAAATTAATATTTTTAGCCGTTAATTAAATACAATCGAGCTTTATGTAGATACCCGTTAGGACGCCCTGATCTACTCTGAGAGCAGAACAGGTCGAAAAAAGTACTGCTATATGCATATCTGTTAATTAATTCAAATTGATATTTTACATTAAATTTATATCGTTCTATTTTTGAGCTATTAATTATGTCTATTTAAAAAAAGTGTGTTATACTTACCAGCATAACACATCTCACGTTTTTGTTCACCCCATTGACTACCAACACCACGACATAAGAAATAACTCTTACAATCAGTTGGATCTGGCCACTGTCCATCTTTTAATTCTTCACATACATCTTCTGGTGCTAAATACAATAAAAAAAAAATGTTTTCGATTTTGCAAAAAAAAAAACAGATTAATCCTACTTGGTCCTTCTGCATCACGTTTAGATATTTTTGGTTTTTTAGTTGTTTTTTCAGTTGTTTGTGGTTGTTGATATTGAGAATTAGGTTTAAAATCTAGATGAATATACATATTCAATGTGTACTTCTACTTTTAATAAGTATATTTTATACTTTTATATTCATTAGTTGGACAAGTTGAACACATTTTTTCTTTTGGTAATAATTTAAGTTGTCCATGTAGAACAGCTTTAATTGTTCGTATTAATGGAAATTTTCCTTGACAACAAAATTGACCACGAAAATCATCCATATCAAGTGTCCAAATCATAGCACCGCCCAAATTATTTTGTTTTATATAATTTGCCTTTTCAAAAACGAAACAAAAGAAAACCAATCATGTTTATCAAATTTATCGTATTGATCTGTTGTTTTTTTGTTTTTACTTTATATTTCATACTTCGAACATTTTCTACGCCAGCTTTTGGTTGATTATAGGGACCTGCTATATATGGTACAAGTTGTTTAGCATCCCATGTTTCTTTCATTTTTTCACAAACAATTTGAATACAACTCTAGAAATGAAAATTATTCAAAGAAAAAACGAAATAAGAGATCAAAGCATAAAGATTTATTTTTTACTTCATAATATGCTACAAAACCATTTTCACCTTTAAATCCTGTATATGGCATAGCTGGTGTATCACCTCGACCATATGTACCTAAACCTAACATCATTTTATTGGCTGGCATACCCAATTTTTGAAAATATTTTACAGCAAAATCCTATTTAAATATCATTTAGAAAAATAAGAAAAACAGCATGAATGATATGACATACAATATACATTGTATCATCTTTTTCATTATCTTTACTATTAAGCGATGAATGATGAGCACGATTTTGATCCCATGATCCATGAAAATCATAAGTCATTAAATTAAACCTTAGTTAAAAAATATATGAAAAGAAAAATTTAGATATT